GGGAGGCCTATTCAATAACCCAAAAGTTGGGTCAGGCAGTGGCACCGCTAGAACAAGTAGTGGAACTGCTTGTGGTTGGAAAACTAAAAAAACTCGATCTCCGAGGCTATTAGGCGATAGTACCACCAGACTAGGCGATGGTATCGCCTAGTAATAGTGTGTCAACAACTTAGGCAACAAGAAAGTAGCAAAAATTATAGAGAAAAAAACTGAGTAAACTCTGCTAAAACTTCGAGTTCCCTCCTCCTAGTGGTTAGAGTTAATCCTAAGTGAGGTGTGTGAGGGACTACTTGCAAAAGAGTGACATGTAAATGTTATCTCCTAAACCTGTGAAATGAAAAAAGTATTGTAAGAGGGTAATTGGTCTTCGCCCATTGAAGAAAGACCAATAGTAGACGTTGGTGGCCTCAATGGAGGAGGAATCAGAAGTAAATGTCGGTCACGATGATTGAACCACTATAAATTCGGTGTGCTCTATTTTTTTGCTACTTACTTTTATTGCTTACTTAGCGACTTACTTAACTCCATATTTACTCTACGTTAAGCTTAAATACTTTCCAATACGGGCTTTATCGAAATGATTTTTCTACATTGAATGAGTTTTCAAATCGACATAATTTTTACGTAAGCACTAATTCAACCCTCTCTTAGTATTATATTAATCATAATAGTTTCTATTAGAGTCTAACTAGATTCTCTTAGAGAACTCTTTTTCTCTCAATCCGAATAACTTTGGCTAGAGATTTATTTGAGCAAAAATATATGGGATATTCTTCTCGTGATACCGAGAGTGGATAATCCTTTATTGACACTCATTTGCCTTCGTAAGGTTAGTTGTCATTCCCGAGAATTGGTTGTACCAGATTTGGAACTTCCAAACCTGTAAGTCCAATGTCAAAAAATAGAGTACTAATACAAAATATTTTTTGTGCCTCAGTCTAAAGACTAGAGACACAATTGGGACTATAGAATCGCTGTTTGATATCAGGTATTATTAATCATTCAGCATTTCTTAAACGGATCAATCAATGAACTCATTCTCCTATGAGCATATGCACTATATCTATAGTGTCCACACACGAGCAATTATGAGACAAACTGTCTTCATCATATAGATATATATATAGTATATCGGTATGTCCGGTTATCTCAATGTTCCTCTCGAGTAACATATGACCGAGAGTATTTACGGTCTGTGTTTAAAGGTGAATCGATCTCATTATCGTGATATTATCATGATCTAATTATCATTATGTATATCCACGAACATCATTATATATATATATATATATATATATATATATATATATATATATATATATATGTATATATATATA